CTACAAACTGAATTATTTTTGTGGTGCTGCTTCCTGTGTGATTCAGGTGTAATGTGCTCTGATGTGTCACATTCACTCTTTTAGGTCAAAGTCCATGTTTGATCTGTCTTCTCATATATTCTGAATATTTCATTATTATAATTGTCTGTCTTCATTATTGTGCTGCGTAAAAACACTAGTGTTGATGAAGTTTATCATCATTGTTTCTGTTGTTGGTGACAAACTGTTGGAGTCGTCTTTGGGAAAACTTCTGGCAAGGAACTTGGTGCTACTGACCTTCCTCGGGACGAGTGGCGTTGCCCAGGTTCATAAGCTCTGAGTCAGGTGTTGGGGAACCGGTTTAGAAATGAGCAACTGGAACAAAGGTCAGAGAGGGGACATCATCATCATCATCCCCAACATCCTCTCAACAGTAGTTGTTCATGCCAGTTCAGAGCTGAGTTACTTATGTGGAGTACAAAGTGAAGAACAAAGTTTTCACATGCCAGGCACCTTTCAGACATGATTCAGTTCTTCTGTACAGCCGCTTATTCTTTGGGGAGTTGGGGAAAGTCTAACATGAGCTTTTTAAGCATGAATCAGTGAATGTGTCTGATTCTCTCTGTTGTCTCTGACTGACCTCTACAAACTGACTCTGGTTATTTTGTGACTTCACAGCTTCTTAAGAGCTTCTCTCTTCTCAGCTCATCACTTATGTAATGAATGTAATTTATACATCTTTTAAATGATTATTGTTGGACGTCAGGTAATGTCTGTCTCCCTTTGATTTTGAAATGTTTCTGAAGCATTTTAAGAACATTAAACGTCTATCAAACTAAATGTTATTTCATTTTAGTTTCTCTTCTTCTATTTCATTGTTGTAACCTTGGTTTTTCAGCTGGCTAATGATGCTGCTAAAGCAGGAGACTGGAGGAAAGAGGATCACATTAAATAACATATAATAAGTACAGGACCATCAGTATTATCAGTATTAGAGCTTTAACTGAGTAAAATATCAAGGACTTCAGCAGCTTCACTTTTATTTTGATTCAGCTCCTTCCACATAAGTGCAATATCAAATCTGGCCACTAGATGTCACTCAACTGGCATCACATCACTTTATTTCTCCACTGTCTCACTATGTGCTCACAGCAGTGTTGTGGTGTTGTGTGTGTGTGCATATATAGTTTATATATGTATATACTATATTATATATATATATAATACAGTTTTAAGTCTTGGTAACTTCTGGGTCTCTGACACATAGAAGAGTCAGAACAATCACAAACACATTATGAACAGAACATGATGAAAGTTTATTTTGCATTGTAACAGTTTTCATCAGTAGTGAGATAAGATATAAAATATATATATAAAAAAATAATTTTAAGATATAAAAACAATGATAATAATGATAACAAAGTGCAGCTCTCTTCTCTTTGACACTGACATTTGTTATTAATACTGTAATGATTCATTTAAACACAAACTCACAATAACTTGAATATAATCTGGAACAGAAATATTCCCTTCATGACAGTTAAATCTTCTGACACTTAAACTAGAAGATGTTGGAGGGAGAGTCTCTCAGGTTTGATGACTCAGGTCTTGAACCAGAGCTCTGACTCTTTCTCACAGTAAAGAGGGTCTGACCCAGTGTTGGTCCCCTCTCTCTGTTTCCATGGAGACAGTGAGAGAGGTGAAAGGTCAGAGGTCAGACTGGGTGTGCAGGGAAAAGCAGCCTCATGGACCAACAGGGTGAAAGGTTGTGCTTCAGATCTGGTTCAGACTGCTCCACGTTTAATGGAGGCTTCAGGTGTTCTAGCAGGATGACATCATCATCCTCCGGTCCAGTAACGATTGACCGAAATGAACCAATCATCTGAGGCTGACCTGGAAAATGGAGGGAAAATTAAAACTTATGAAAAGTGAGTGAAGTCTGGAATTTGATTTGCTGTTATTTTCATCCCAGATTAATCTGATGATATTTTCTTGATTGATCGTTTGGTCTAAAAAATTGGTCAAATAAATGCTGATAAAGCCGAGATAAATGTCTTTAAATTGTTTGTATGGTAAAACAAACTGTCCCAGGCTCAGAGACATTCAGTCCATTATCACATGACACAAAGAAAAGCAGGAAAACTTTACAACTGAGAAGCTGGAGGTAAATGTTTGTTATTTGTGCTTGAAAAAAAGACTTTAGTTGATTATTTTCTGTCAATTAATTGTTTCAGCTTCATTTCCAGCCAAAAATTAGAGACTGTAATTTTTGAATAATCATTTTGACAAAAACCTTTTGAGTGACACCAACAAAAGAGGAAGAAGAGGTCAGGAGCTGCTTGAACAACAAGTGGATAAACAGCATGACAATGTTGATGTATATTGTGTGATCACATATCAATAATATATAACCCTGCTGTGAGCATCAAAGACTGGTTGTATTAATTGGTCTTGATGCTTTTGTTAATAATTCACATGGTAAATGTAAATAACTGTTATTTCCATTATGATTAAACTGACTACACAAGGCTAGAGAGAATATTAAAGACCCTTCACATTAAAAAAAAAAAAAAAAAAAAAAAAAAAAAAAAAAGGGGCGTCGTGTGGCGTGGTGGTCTGGGCGGGCGCCCCGTGTGTGGGGGCTGCAGTCCTCGCTGCAGTCGGCCCCGGTTCGGGTCCCGCATCGGACGGCCCTTCGCTGCATGTCATTCCCCCTCTCTCTGCCTCCCCGTTTCCTGTCTCTCTCCACTGTGCTGTCCAATAAAGGCATAAAAAGCCCAAAAATATATATATAAAAAAAAAAAGAAAAAGACCCTTCACATTAAAGTCAAGACTCGTTGAAGACTTCAGGCGCGAAAATTTACGAGCTAACAGTAGCCTAGCAAACAAGCTAACTGTTGACGTTGATTAGGTTTAACGGCTTCAACAGCTTTATATTCAGTACACTAATATCTCTCGTGTCTATAGCAAATAAACGTCCAACAACCCGCTTATAAAAACAGAAAAAAGAGACTCATCACGTTTCAGAGTTTTCTTCAGTATTAAAGTATTTATACGGTGTTAACGTGTCTGTTTACCTTCAACAGGTGAGCAGGAGAGGAAAGCCAAGAGGAGGATGAAAATCCAGAGAGAAGTTTAATCCAGGTTCCTTTGTGACCGGACGATAAGAGACTCATAGACTGAAGGAGAGGAGACTGACGGCACTCGCTGCACGTTCTACGTGATGACGTCGCCCTGCGTGTGTCACGTCCGTGGACGTATCCCATGCTAACAGGGTAAACGAAAGTGTTAGCATTTAGCTTTAACCACCACTCATCCACAGCGCAGCCTCACAGAGCTGTTAGCATGGCTGTCACAAGATGGCGCCAGAGCTAAACTCTGAGAGAGAGGATATAGTTATTGATATTAAAGCTAAAAGCGGAAGTCTGTTCCAGAAACACTTGACCACTCCTCTGTCATCAGACTGGATCACTGTAACACTCAGCAGGTAAAATCCCTTCTGATAAACGGTCAGCAGGGGGAGCTGTTGGTCTGAGCCTCAGTCATTAACTCACCTGTATTGATGTTACTGGGTCTTTTCTTCCTCTGCTGAGGGTGAACATGTAGATGAGTGTCTTTCACAGACACTAGAAAGTAACTTATAAAGAAGGTGAAGTTTACAGGTTTCCTTAATGTTACTTTCACACTGTCAGTTATAATAATTTATAACTTCCAGCTTCTAATGATTTTCTCTCTTCTCAGCTCATGAGTTTACATTATTTATTTGTATCTTCATGTATTTCCCTGTCAGAGTATTACCGACCGCGCTCCGACCAACCTGCCACCAACCAACCATCAAGAAGAAGAACTGGTTGTCGTACCATGGTTTGTAGCTCCTGCAGTTTCTTGTTGCAAAACATCTCTGATGTTTATTTCAACTTAATTCTTGGAAACTTCTGGGTCTCTGACATTAAGACTCTCACACAGAGAAGAAACAAACTTCTCTCATATAAATAGAGATTTATTTACATTATAAACTCTACAAGCACAAATGTAATTTATGACAAGGTGAAGGTGCCCTCTCTCCGTTTGCATGGAGACAGTGAGGGACACGAAGGGTCAGAGGTCATCCTGGATGTCAGAGAAAAGGAGGATTGAGGAAGGAGGAGGAACAACGGGGTGAAAGGAAGCAGAGACAGAGCAACTTTGCTTTCTGACAAACTGATCTTTTCTGTCCTGGAATAAAGGTTTACTGTGTTATCGGGAGTTTTAGTGGCAAAATGGCTTGAGGTAGAGCAGAGATGGACCAGTAGAGCTGCTCCTACTGCTGCTGCTGTTAATACTACTACCACTGCTGCTGCTGCTGCTGCTGCTGTCAGTCCCAGTCCAGCGTAGAAGACAATCCTTCCTCGACTCTCTGGTTCTGGTCTCTCAGTTGGTCTCTGAGTTTCAGGCTGATCAACAGCTGCTGTAAAGAACATAAACATTTTGATTTATCTGAAAAGGAAATATGTGTCGGTGAAAAGTAGCCTACTAAAATGCTTTTATGGAGAGAAGTAATTGGGAAAAAATATATATGTGGATCAGTCTGTCCATGACTTCGGTCCAGACTAAAACATCTCAGCAGCTGCTGGATGGATCCAGATGAAATTTTGCATTTGCTGTGTTTAGCATGCTAACACGCTAAACTGATGTGTTAGCATTTAGCTTTAAGCTTGAGTACAGCCTCACAGAGCTGCTAGCATGGCAGCAGAGTCTTGTTTTACTGCTAATTCACTCACCAGAGACGTTGAGTCGACATTTGCCAAAGTTTGCTAAATAATTTGCGTTGACTTCACAGCAGTACAGTCCTGAGTCCTCAGTCCTCAGTCTGGACACATGAAGTCTGATTCGTCCTTCTCTGAGGACGTCTTTGTCACACTGGACTCGTCCTGAAAACTGTTTATTCTGAGACTCTGGGACCTCAACACCCTCATGTAGATGATACAGGACTTTTGAGGCTTTTAGATCATCAGTAAACTTCTCACATAGAATAGAAAGGAAGTCAGGTGGAGTGTGAGGTTTGGTTGTGAAGCTCCACTCCAGTGTGATGTTGTGGTTCTCCTCTGCCTGATAGGAGCTCTGTGTCACATTCACTACAAATGTTCCTGTTGAGGAGACAGAGAGGGAAAGTGAGGAGCAGACTAACTGAGGACTTGTATCAGTTTCTAGATAATAAAGTGAAGGAGTAAACTAACCACAGACACAGGAGGTCAGTGTGAGGAGCAGCAGGATGCAGCAGATCATCTTCTCCCTGTGAGAGGAGACAGAGCTGAAGAGTCACAAACACATGAGACCAAAGAAGGAAAATCTACAGTCTGACTTCATTCAGTCAGTACGATGCTGCTTCCTCTTTATGATCCTGATCATTACAAACAGCTGATCAGAGGACGGACACCGAGCCTCCATGACGATGTCAGAGACAATGTGAGCTACAGTCACTGTGATGTCACGTTTGTTTTGACGTCTCACATTTAGAGAGAGAAACTTCATGAGCTGCAGTCATGTGTTTCTGCCACAAGATGGCGCCAGAGTTAAAGTCTCCAATCCTGAATACACTTGTCTCAGCTCTCAGCTCTCTGCTGAACAGGACTCACTGCAGTGTAAGAGTTTTATAATGATCTGTCTCTCACTACAATGATCACGTCTGTTCAAAACTTATTGTCTAATTCAGGTTCAATGTGGTCTGATGTTGTTTCACAGACAAACTGAGACAAAGAACAGAGAACTGGATTCAAGCTGCTAGACGACTCCACATCGCCCCCCACAGTCTGTCAGCAGAACTGCAGCTCAGAGAAAAACAGCTGTTTTCTGTTTTCATAGAAAACAAAGGTTTGTGTGACATTATCTCTGCTTTAGAGCTGTAAAAGGTTCATTATCATTATTTACATGAACTTTTACTTTACCTGTGACGTCGCCTCTCTCTTTACATCAGACTCGGTGCAGCAGCTCTGTCCTGTCTGAAATCTGTGTTTCTAAGGACGACAATTACAGCTCATTAAAGTCACGATGAATGGGTCTGATTCTCTCTGTTTTAAAGTCGATCAAATAAAGATTAATACAAATTTTAATTATTTAAATCATGAAGAATCATGAAGTGACACAAAATCATTTGGTTTAACATTTAGCTTCATTCACTAAAAGAGTCTGAAGACGTCACTCCTGGAAAATCAAAGAAACAAGTTTCCTCACAGACAATTGTCTGTGAGGAAACTTCTGTGAAGGTTAAACCTTCACAGAAGGTTAACAGAAGGTTAAACCTTCACAGAAGGACAGAATCAACCAAGTTGTAATTACTGATCTCCACAGAGAGAAACAAACAACTATTAACACACTGTATCTCAGAAAGTGTAACACCTTTACACCAGGATCAATGTAACAACGATCACAACTTACTGCTCTGGAGGAATATGTCTGTCACGTCTTTTCTCACGTTGAGAGGAGAATGTGTTTAATGGAGCTTTTACACTTCTGTAGGAAATGAACAGGTGAGCACGTCCTCCACATACCTGGGTATAAATAGTGTATGAATCAGAGCCATGAAATGCTGCTCTGATCCTCCCGTAGTTCTTTAAGACTTGGCCTGCAGACCTCACAAACTGGTTTGACAAAGTGAAGTTAAAGTTTTACCACAACAACCACCTTCCCTCAGGTCACATTCTGTCAGAGCTGATGGGATAGGTAAAGATAAACAGCAGATACTTATTGAAATGACTGCATCATCATAATGTCATCATATCATATTCTTACACAGAACATCGTTTAAAATACCAGGAAATATATCTGACAGGAAATATATCAGATATAATTTCCCCAGCATGTTCCAACATCGGCAAACAGCAACTGATTGGTGAAATTCAATGAACATGCTACGGCAAGGGGGAGCCAGGACGACAGGTCAGAGAGGAGATGTCATCATCATCCCCGCTCAAAAGTAGCTGTTCATGATGAACTGTCTGAGTCCTACAATATAGTCTGAGAACACCTATATACCTAGGTATGCAGGTATCGTTTCCCAGAATCACAGTGATCACATTCCACCAACATGGAATGTGATACTCAGGTCTCACAGGTAATGTCACTGTGGTTTCATCGTCTCCTGCAAAACCTCTGAGACCGGTAAAGTGGAGGATGGAGCACATCCCTGTTTGACATCTCCAGTGCATTGTTGCATTTTGCAGCAGATTTGAGGCACTTTGCATTTTGTGTGCAACGTTTGGACTAGTGTGTAGAGTTTTGAAAAAATGAGATAAAAGGTTTAGAAAATGTTTGTATAAACCAACTTCCTTCTCCTTTTATTTAATGACTTTTATCAAAACCTGCAAAACTCCTTCCAGGTTTTGATCTTCACAGTCTTCAAGATTCTTGAATCGTCCATCACATCGGATAATGTGTCTCATCATGTCTCATCTTGTGTTACAGAGTTGTGTGTTGCTGCAGTTCAAAGTGCAGATTAAAAGTGTTAAAGTAGGAGAAGAGAAGGATATAAAGAGCATGAGAAGAAGAATCTGAGAGTGGAGCCATATTTTCACACCCTTTATATTCTTTAGAACAGACACACATCTGGGACTCACAAAAGACAAGTGAAAACAACCACTTTTTAACGCTCTGTGTGTGGCTTACAGCCAAACCGATGTCTGTTTATGGCTCAGGGTGTGTGGTGGAAAACCATTGGCTGTGTGCTTTTTACAAGAATAAATTATTTCTTTAGATGGATTTCCTGGATTCAATCACAACATTATTTAATTAAGTAAAAAAACTGTCTCTGGCTCCAGTCCAGATTATTTAAACCAAGAATTCATCAACAGCAGTTTTTAAGCGGTGGATCGTAACAGGAAGTGATTATTAGAAGAAAGGCTGTTTCATCTTTGATATTATAAATAAAAACATCATCTATCTAAACAGGTGTCGGGATATTAGATCAAGGTCGAGCTCAAACAAGACAAATCATTGTTATGAACAACAACACGTCACAGTGTGATCTGGAGGATTGTTAAATGAAAGCTCATCTTCAGAGTCAACACCTGTAACAAAGTACAAACAGGAAACCACCTGACAACCTCTAACACACCTGTTTATTGTCTCACAGGTTCTGTAGCAGGTGTTGATATGATGCAACAACAGTCCACATGACTCGAAGCTGCAGGACGGACAAATAATAATAATATCCAACAATAACTTATATCACAATTCACATTTGTGACACCAGTCACAGTCACAGTCTTTCTCACTTTTTATGACTCAGGTGACCAACTGTGATGACAGCTAGTCTTGTGAGAGGTGAAAGGTCAGAGGTCAGACTGGGTGTGCAGAGA